GCCAGGCCCATTAATAACCCTTAGGCTCTGCGATTCCGACAGCACGGTCGCTGAAAGCCTAGCTTCTCGTGTCTGCCTGGCCCTTTCCGCCCAGTTCGAATCAAACGACACTGGGTGCTCTTGGGAAGTCGTGCCTGCAGGGTAGGATCCCTCATGCCAGCTGTTTGCCCTGGGGCAACTTAGGAACAGCTTCACTAAATGAGATAATCTCATTTAACTTGGGCTCAGCCTTCCTGCCTGCCAATTGAATCATTACCCCGATCGTTAAAGACACTTTACCCTGATCTTTAAACTTCCCATCTGGTTTGGCCTCTGGGAAGAGCTTGCACGTACAATCACTACTAACACCCACCACTCGTCCCCCAGTTCCCACTTATCCTTGTTGGCCAGAGTCCCTGGAGTGGGCGCTGGATAGACTTGTATCGTAGCTCCCACAGGGAAGGAATTGGGGCTTGCGCTCCTGCGATAGAGTAAGAAGCTGCAGACTCCCGTGTCTGTACCTGTCACTCCTGCTTTGATAGCCTAAGAGCAGAATCAAATACTCAGGCGACTATCTGAGATAACCCGTTGGACAAGAGACAGACTTCTTGAAGATGCAAGGATAAGCACATTCTGAAACGCTGGAGTAGGGCGAAGGCATAGGAACCGGTGAGGGTTAGAGAGAGAAGCTGAAATGCGGGCAACTTGATCAAAAGCAAAAGGCGCGAGTATTAGGAGCCTAGAAAGCACACCTGGCTCTGCAAACCCAACACTGAAGCCTTGCGTTGATCCCAGCAGGCATATTTGAGTGTTGGAAATTCCTTTCTCACAACTTATGGCCTTGGTGCCCTTGTGGTGTCCCCCTCCTCAACAGGTGGTTTACCTGCTGCTGTTTAGGGAGTTTACCTGAGGGTCGTTCCCCCCTCACACCCCACTCCCTACCCTAAACAAAAGGCCGGGTTAACGCGCTCCTTTCCTTCCTTTCCCGGTGTCTCCCACAGGTTGCGACATGTGCGCGGACAACCGCAACGGGGAGTGCCCCATGCACGGGCCGCTGCACTCGCTGCGCCGGCTTGTGGGCACCAGCAGCGCTGCGGCCGCTGCACCCCCTCCGGAGCTGCCCGAGTGGTTGCGGGACCTGCCGCGGGAGGTGTGCCTGTGTACCAGCACCGTGCCAGGCCTGGCGTACGGTATCTGTGCTGCGCAGAGGATCCAGCAGGGCACCTGGATTGGGCCCTTCCAGGGTGTGCTCCTGCCCCCGGAGAAAGTACAGACTGGCGCCGTGAGGAACACGCAACACCTCTGGGAGGTAAGCAGCCCTAGTGGAACCCCTTGCCACGCAGCCCCGGCCCTTGGCCGACGCCCAACTCCCCCCACCGACGTATCAGGGGACTAAGTTCCCCTGTCCAGTGGAGGGTTGGCTTCTGAAGTTCCTGCAGTGAGGATGCTGGCAGATTGTGGCTTGCCATGGGGCCTGTGGGCTGCAGAAGTCAGAGCCATCTTACCCTGCCTCTGTTCAAACTGGGAAAGATTAGCCCCTCAGCTTCTCAATCTTGAAGACAATCAAAAACAGCCAAGGAGGAGGTAGAATTAGAATTAGAGACAGGTGACCTTAATGCCAGGTCCCCAGCTCCTTTCATAGGTTTCTGTGCCTGGAGCCAAGAACCAGAGAGGGGATAGTCAGGGTGATTTCTCAGGTGAAAACAAGTTTGTAGTGATAGGTAAAGTGTTTGCTTGCCTAATAAGGAAATCCTGGGTTTTGTCCTCAGTGCCACTTAGCTGGAATGATGGTGACCACCTATATTCCTAGCACTGGGGAGGTAGAGCTAAGAACCTCAGAAGTTCAAGGTCACCATAGGCTACAGAGCAAGTTTGGGCCAGTTCTAGGTCATCTAAAACATTTTTCTGTTCTTTTTGGTAAATGTTGAATATGAGAGACCAAAATATGTTATAGAACTTTGAGAATACCCAAACCCTTTCATGAATTATATTGTAAATCAAAACTTAAAAATCTGGTTTCTCTTCTGACAAAGTGAAATTATGCAACTTTGAACAGAGTAGATAATCAAAACATGAGAAAACAGCATTTTGGTATAAGTTAATCCTGACTATTAGTTAAACATACCATATTTGAAACATCCTAATCAGAGCTTCCTGCTTGATTGAGGTCCACTCCTGAGAGAGGGTTATAGTTAGACTCTTTGATCTTAGCTACTCAACCCATGGAAAACTAGTATGTAGTTATGAAAGATTACATACTAGAGGCCATAACGGGAAATGCTATAAATCTGCAGCCAGGTGAACTAATGAAGGAGTCATTAGGAAAATAAAATTCTCAATTATCAGGGCCTTATTGTTCATGTGGACTCTAGGGCTTCAGTATGGGACTATTTAAGCAACCGTGTGCTTTCTGGTTACTGGCTTGTCAGTGTGATCATTTTTGTGATGAGCTGTCCCAATTCACTGCTTACAACATTCAACAATCCTCTTACATGTTTACTGAGCTTCCTTTGGCCAGCTTTGTATTAGGCCCTGGAGAGAGTGTTGTGGCAAACAGAGTTACTGTCCAGAACCCTCACATAACTACTGGGGTCAGGGGGCTGAGGCCTGTGTTTTCAAAATCTCCCTTGATGGAGGAATGACCATAGGAGACTGCAGCCCAGCAACCCAAGGTGAGGACAGGGCAGCCCATGAGCCGCCTGCTCTATAGTTATCCACAGAGCCCAGGATCCAGGCTTCCAGTTGCCTTATCACTCCTATACAGTTGCTGGAAAGCAGTTGAACATATTTTTTTTTTTTCTTTCCGGATGGAATCCCTGATGGAGGGGAGGAGTGTGCATATTTATGTCACCAAATGAGGCTTGTCTTAAAAAACAAAAACAAAGCCAACAGTAAAAATTCAGAAGTTTAATGTCTAAAACAGGCAGGAGGAAGTGGCTTGGCACGAAATGACTTGGAGGCAAAAGTTAGAGCTATTGCATAGCAAAACTGACAAGTAGGACATAATGAAAGCGTCTGGTTTTGACACCCTTCCTCGTTGTTTGTTTCTTACTAATTCAGTTGTAACCTCCGGTTTGGTTTCAAGTTTATAAAGTCCATCCATACACTCTTCATGGTCCAGTGCTGCTGTTAAGGAGTCTAATATCCCATTGTTAAAGGTCTGCTGATGCTTCCCAGGGAAATCCACAAAGCAGTTGTTTGTGGTACAGATTTGTTCTATCTGAAAATGTGAAACCCAACTGATCCCACCCTCTGATGCTTGTCTATTTTCAGGCTTTGGAGGACAAAGCCATAAATGTGAAAAAAATCCCATAGTTCATTTTTTTTTTTCCTAGAAGGCTTTGAGGATTTGGGGTGTTGGCAAGAAGCCACTACACATATAGGCTTCAACAATACATATTAACATGGAAAGCTATGGAACATTTTTGTTACACTTTTGATTAGTACATAATGGAAGATAGTTCTGTCATAATAAGTCTGTTTTTTTTTCTTAATACGTCCATGGATTTAAAATGAGTTTCACTTATTGTTTGGGGTAGGTGAGTGGAGTGTGTTAGAAAGAGATACAAAGTTAGTTCTTGGAGTTAAAAGACCTACTAGTTTGTGCTGGAGTGATTTGTTAACTCCTAGTTCTAGTTAAGAACATAATTGATCTATTTTTTATCATCCCTCTGTAATAATAATTAGAATGACATACATTTGGGGGACTGACAGGATATTGAAATTTCAGCCACGTAAAATGTCTCCTGAGAGATGGTAAAAAATGTTACTGGCTGGGGTAATTTAGTGGCAGTGACTATTTGTAGTGACAGAACACTTTTTAAAACAGGGTATAGACTTTTATTAGTATGATTACTTTTCAGATATGAAATATGAGTGGCTGGGAATGTGGCTCAGTTGTCAGAGTGCTTGCCTAGCATGTGTGGTAGCCTGAGTTTGATCCACAGCACTGAATGAAACTAGGCTTTTTGTGGGAGATGGAGAAGGATCAAGCATTCAAGGTCAGCCTCAGCTACGTAGGAAGTATGGGGACAGCCTAGGCTATTTGAGATCCTGTCTTAACAAAACAAAATATTTAAATGTGAATAAATTATGATTTTAAAATTTAAGCATCATGATTTATGAGACATAATTATTTGAACCACGCCACTTTTAAAAATAGAAAAGTGTAAATATTAAATTGCCCTTTAAATTTTAGACTTTAAGTTTGCATTCTATCCTGAAAAATTTTAATCATTTTTTTATATCAGATAGGGTCCATTGGAATACACTATAGATCTTCACAGGAAAGGCTTTGCAATATTTTTTGAATGACTCACAAGATAATTATTCACTTAAATATTATTTTAAACATTTTCTGGGATATCAGAGATTCAAGAGAGTTAAAAGATTGAATCATGATTCTTTCATTTTAAAAGTCAACTGCAATCATTCTTCTTGGTATTTTTTCTTCATTTTTCCTGAAGGAATGTCTTCATATTTAGAGTTCAATTCTCAGGTCCTGATAGATCTTACCAGGGTTGCTTATCTTTATTTGAATACAATAAATGGGTTGCTAATTTCCCCCATTACTGTCTCTGAGTGGATGGTGGATTTTTGTTTCAGTTTACAGTTCGTAAACTTGGTTCTGCTTCAGTAATGTATTGTGCACATGAAGGGTTATGATGGAAACAGATTCACATTTAGTTATTCCTTTTGATTATTCTTTGAAGAACTTTTAAATGTTTGATGTACATTACCATGGAGAATTTGTTTGCAAGCATGCCATCACTTTTTAGGTTAACATTTTCATTGTGTATAATCCCAATGATTCAGTGCAGCAACTTAAAGAAGTACATCCCACGCTTCAACGTGGTTTGAAGTTTTACATTTATGAGGAGAGGTTTTCTTTTCTTCAACTCTCCCTCCTGCTAATGATCTAAGGTTATTATTTTTTTCAGTTTAAAGAGACTAGCCAGTTAAAACCAAATTTTAAAAAGTTACTCTCTTTTTTTTTTCTAATTTGGCCAGTTTCTTTTGGGATTAGAATTTTAATGTGTTTTGAAAAATAACAGGTTTTAGATACTTTAAAACAAAAACATTACAGAAAACATTAAGCAGTCCTTCAGTTACATATATTGATTCTAACAAGACTTGAACATAGGCTTTAATTCTATTTAGATGTATTAGGCAGAAATCTTTCTGGCCATTCAAAGAAAACAAACTCTTTCTCAGCAGTTACATCTCATAGATGGGAGTGAGATAACTTTATCCTAATGTGTTTTCTAATGAAGAAGTGGAAAGACACATTTGATTCCAACATTTATGAAAACATCATCTTGGTTATTAATCTGCTCTTTTCCCTGGAGATAAATTAATCTAGTTGTATGTGGTTTCCTCTTTCTGCTTAACATCAGAATTTAATATGACTAGACCTGAGGAATGCACACAGTGTATGCTTAACATTCTGCTGGAATAAAATAGAAAAGTTTAAAATAAAGTTACAATCTAAGATAAGCAAGAACTACACCTTTCAACTCAAGGTATGTCTTGATAAGAAATTTTAGCAACAATGACAAAATAAATTGTACCCATTTTCAACCTAAATTTTTCCCCTGCTAATTGATATCATGTAGTGGTGTATTAGGGTTGCATTCAAAGTACTAGAGAGGAGCTCAGTTTATAAAACCTGTCTTTCCCTTTGCTTGAGTAAGTCTGAATATATCATTTTCATTTGCACTCTGTTTAAAGGAGGATAGGATAATATGGACTTTTTGTGGTTTGATTTTGTGACATAATATTTTAGACATGATAAGAGTGCTATTTAAAGTAAATGGTCTAATTTTTTATCATTACCATTTAGCTTAAGTCAAAAAATAGTAATGAAAGCCAATATTAAATATATGTATTTCATGCTGCTAAATGTTTATTCTTCAAAACTATCATAGGTAATTGGTACCAGAAGGGAATGGATTGATTTTATTTTTTGAATGTGCTGTGCATGTTTTTTTTATATATATGACTCTATCATCTATATACATACATACACACATACATATACACACATACATATGTACATGCATACATATTTAGGTGTTGAAATCATTTTGAATCAATACTTTTATATTATGTTAAAATCACTTAAAAATGTTCAGGGATAATATTTTAACTGAAAATGCCATATTTTGTCTTTTACACGCTGGCTCATATTGGCCTGACTCACAAGATGCCAGGGGCGGACAGGTTCTATAAATTTTTGGCTGTCACGTTACAATTGAAGTAAAAATCTTATTTCCAGCAATTTATCATTTAGTATACTACTCCACCTAT